AGTTTAATCTTCTAAGTGGTTAGAAAGAGTGGAGCATAGCCATACTAACATAGAGTGAATCAACCATTTAAATCCTTAAACTATGCGAGTTTGATTCCAAGTCAATATAGAAGTGCCTTTTAGAGATGTGCACACTTGAATTTTCCTAATGGTTCAAATTGGGGAACCTAGTCATACTATCAGAGAGTCAAATTGTCATTTTAACACTAAATACAAGTCCATGAGAAAATATTTAAGCATTTTCCATACAAAAATACTCGTCATAGAAAGGTACGCTGAATCTTTCAAAAATTTTAAAAAAGTCAAATAAAGTCATTGTATCCAGTATGATTCCGAGTTACTAGGGAATGTCCTCAAATGAAATAAAATTAATAGGCAGGAACAATAAAGTCAGCCTCCAATGAGTTCATACCCAATATATTTTGGATAAAAAATATTTAATTCCCTTAAGAGATTATAAATTGGTTAATAGCGCTACCATGTTAATGATACGACTAGTATCTTTTCACAGCATAAGATAAAAAATATGAAAGGGAATACTAAGAGGTGCAGAAAGAATGAAGAGACAGAAACCTTTTGTAGAGCTAACAAGCTTGAGACAATCTGAAGTGCTATTTTAATTATAATATCAAAAAAATTTATTTTAGTTTTGACTTAACCAGATGGAGAGCTTGTGAGAAAACAAGGGAGTCTCTATCTGCAAACAAATAAATGTCCTGAACATCTTGGAACTATTAACAACTATAAGTCCATCATTTTGAAAGATTTTATTTATTTGATAACCAGCGTAAACACCAAAAATAATGGCAGCCTGGGGATTCAATAAAGAATAATTCTTGCTAACAGATGTTATTTCGGACTGAGTAGACCAACCATGCTTTGTCAGGTGACCGACTATATGAAAGACTCGGTACTACAAACTGACGACAACAAGTCACTGATCGGGCTGACTGATAGAGGGAACTGGACGTGACAGGGGAGGGCTTATGTTTGTAATGACCAACTACGTAAGTAACAATTGTATTGTGTACTTCATTTATGTATCATGAGTATCAACACTTACTTTCAGGGACAACTATTAGTCATGGTGATACCGTCAAGTTGCTAGGAGGAGTGGAAACTAATATAAATACTTTATGTATGTGTGTGTGTATATATTAAATTTAAAAATGAAAAATTTGCTTTTTAAAGTAAGTGATTCTGATCATGCTTCTTTAAAATAAGAATCATTCTAGAACAAGATATTTCTCGTAGCATTGTTTTACTGTTTATGATTAATAGTCTCGCTTTTGTTTTTGACATTGAACTGTGAAAACAAGTTAACTTTAGCCGTTACTGTATATATTAACCAAAATCATATTAGTTATAAAATATCTTATAAGACAACATATGAACATGCTGATGACGATCTTTTTGTGATATACTAGATTTATATAAATTAAAGTTGTTTTAAGTTATACACAACCATTTTTTTTTTGAAAGCTTTTTATATTATTATGTGCTTCTAATGCGCAATTTAAGTGTAATTTTAAATTAAGTTAAAAAAATTGTTTACGTTTAAAGAAAATCTAAACAAGATCTAAAGTACTGACGAGTTCAGAATAGTACAACGTCCACTCTCTTCTCAGACCGTTCATTTTGCCTCAAACGATATGACATAAGCGCTACAACCTTTCTTCTTTCCATTCTTTTTACAACTTTTGTAAAAACAGAAAAATATATTATTTAAAAAAAATATAAAAATAAAAAAAAAATATTAAAAACCATTAAGTAAAAAATCAAAAGTTGTAAACAAATACGAGTAGAAAAGAAAATGAAACTATATAATGGTGTTGTTTTTGTTGTTAATAAAAATAAATAATACATGGAACTTTCCTGAGGGAATACAGGCAGTCATATAACCTATACGTGCTCCAAGAGCGGAGTGAGGTGTACAATGTGCCGCTGTTGTCCCAAATAAACAAAATTCCAAAATGTTTAAAATGTTAAAATTTATACAAAACTAAAAAAAAAACATAAAAAATAAATGAAATACAATTCTTTTGTCGAGTAGCTTTAGCGTATCCGCTAAATATTTATTTATTTTTTTCTGTTCGGTAAAGTTCTTCATTTCTCAGTTACGGTGAGTTGTTTTTTTACTCCAAAATTACTTAATACTATTTTCGCGGAAATTTGTGGACTCATTATTGATGAAATAAAATAGAAAAAAATTTTATTCTTATTTATCTTACCATAAAGTTCGCATAATGCGACCAGAAAGAATATATTTTAATAATATTTGTATGGTGTTAAAATTGATTTTTACTTACTATTATATTTGTACTATTTTCTCACTACTTTACTTTTAAAACCATAGCTAAAGACGGTAGGGGTATTTAAATGCAACTCGGGGACTTAATATACATATTCATGTTAAACTTTACATATAGTTGGTTATATGAAATTACCGCGTTACCGAGTGATCGAATTACTGAGGTATCAGGTAAGATAATAATTTATATAACACGATGAAACAATAGTTAATTCCATTTCCCATTTAATTCAAATTAATGCATAGAAAAGCATAAGTTTACAGAAAAAGAATTGAAAAAACCATCATTTCCTCTCTTTCCATACTGATTAGTATATCCACTTATAATTTCGTTGGAGTAAAAAAAAGCACATTTAGATTTGTACTTCATTATAGAGTTTGGTCTGATTACGGTTAAGTTTAAATTGAAAGGAACCTTTTAGTTGTCATAGGTGGTTTCGAGATAAAGTTTCGAGATAATATTTTTGATTATAAATTTTAGATGAAGAATATTTATCTCATTCTAGAAAATATTTTCCCGATTTTTCCAGAATATTTAATTCATTCTAGAGAATAGAATGTTTCTGTGATCTTGTAACGTAGAAGAAATACCAGAAAGACGTTATAAAATAAATATTTTCTTATATTACTTGCAACATATAGTTCACTTTTTTCTTCAAATGTTTTATTATTATGTTTTGAAGTTCAAATTTCCTAATTGTTAACGATTATTTGATTTATACAAAGTCATAACAACCATTAGAATTTAAATGAAATTGCTTTTAAACACCAAAGTTGAGAAACCTAAATCCACCATAGTTTATAAAGATGAGAGCGAATTTAGATAACTAACAATTGATAGACTCAAAGAGAACAAATACGAGCTGGGAAGGGAATGCAAAAACTAGGCATAAAATATTTACCGAATAATGCGGCAAAAAAGTGGAGGTCTGGATGTATATCTTAAATCGAAAGAGCATTATTTAAAGTGCAAAAATAAAGTACCAAGCAGTAATGCTATCTAGATTGGAGAGCATTTTTTTTATTTTTGAGCAATTGAATAAAATTATTATATACCATATAATTAAAGTAAAACTGAAAAATGATCAATAACGCATTATCATTATTAACTGGTTATAATAATAGTATCATGATTGTAAAAACTTATCGATGGCTTGCCAAAATGATCGAATTGTTAAATTCTAAAAAGGGTAATCTCATAAATTTTACAAAATCAACCACTAAACCATCATGCTTGACAGTATTTTAAGTTCTTTCATATACATTCTGCTCAAAAAGTATCCGGATTTTGTTGTTTGTTAACTACTCCTTAAGTAATAGACCTTTTTCAAAAATTTCTTGATATACATATGGTACAAATTTGTGCGCCATCTGTCAATTAGTTTGTTGACAGCAGCTGTTCGTTTTTGAACGAAATTAGTCGTTCCAAAATAAAGATTGTACTTAGAGTAAATCTCGGATGAAAAAGTTACCGTAGATACCCTAGGGAATCTTTATCACCGAAAATTATTGGATGGAAAAGTTTTAAAATTAATTTTGATTGTTGTGCATTTAAGTAGTATAGTACCCATAACTGCAATAGTAAATCAATATAATCCTAAATCGGTTATTTAATAAATTTAAAAAATATTAAAAAAACTAAATTATTTTTTTAATTTTAAAAGGTTTTTTTGTTAACCGTTAATCACTCATAACTGTCTCTCTCAAATTTTTTTATATTAAAAAATATTTTCTAAAATTCACCAGAACTCCGTCATTTTAAGAACACTAATGTAGCCTGAAGTTTCTAAAATATTTTCTAAAATTCATTAGCATTTCGAATATCCATAATTTTAAGCATATTATAATAGCCTGAAGTTTTCCTTATTAATTATAATTCATTGGAATCTAAAAAATTCCATATTACTAAATATTCCTTTTATATAAATGTTGATTTTTATAGTAAAACAACCTATTACGAATTTTATTAAGAGTCAATGAATTAATTAATAAAATTAAATTAATTTAATACAAGATTTTTAAAATGCTTTTGTACACATTTTAACATGATATGCTCTTATAAATACAGAAACTCCTAAATGTATTTTGCAATTCATTAATTTCGCAAACAAATTAAATGCTTGGGGAATCGCCATCGCAATCGCAATCGCAATGGCAATGGCAACAATAACGTCAAACAGTAACTGCAACGTCATATCATGACACATCTTTGAGCGCACATGAAAATCAACGCAAAATTCATTACAAACATAAACATGCGATCATTGCACTTTGCAAAATTAAAAACAAAAATAAAAAAGAAAAAAGCTAAATCAAAAACAAAAAAAAACACACAGCAAAGCACTGAGAGTGTTGTGCAGCAGTGCGCAAATGCAGAGAAAAAGTATTTCTCGTATCAAAAAAACAAAACAAAAGTTAAAAAATATATGCACAATCACTGCAAATAATAACAACAACAAAGCAAACACAACAACAACAACAATAACAACACGAGCAGCCACAATAAAGAAAGAGTTTTTTGTATGCAGACAATTTTGTTGCCATTTCGTGTCGTGTAACAACATTTTTAAATGTGGCGATCATGTTGCTTACAAGTTGTTGTTGTTGTTTCGGTTCATGATGTTCATATTGACGTCGTTGTTGTTGTTGCTTTTGTTATTATTGTTTGTGATTATTTATTTTTTTTGCTATGAGCTTAGCTGGTCAATGGTTCTCTGGTTCATTGCCATCAAGCATGGGGTAACTAACCCAACGAGCAACATTTTTGTTGTTGTTTTTTATTGTTGTTGTTTTTGCTACTCGTACGTATGCACAAAAACTTCGTCACAAGCGAAGCATTTGTGTATTATGAACGTTTGTATATAATGACTGATTTTCCTACTTAATTTATTTTGTTTTCATTTTGTTTTTCTTTTCATTTTGAAAAACAAAAAAAAAGCTTATCTACACTTTTACGCTAGTTATAGTAACTAGTTAGTATTAGCCGTAATAGGCGAATATGTTGTGATTGTGAAGTTTTGCTTGCTGCAAAAGGATAGTTGTGGCATTGTTGTTGTTGTTGTTTTTTTTGTCTTACTCGTAGGTTGAATGCAATTGACGTCGCTCGGTGTCTTCTTGCCTTGGTTTATACAGAAATCAAGTTGAGTGTGCCTCTGTGCCATTCACACTGCTAAGTTTACAAGTTTATTGGCTTTTTTTTTGAATTTTCGTTAAATTTTTTAAAGTTTACAGTTTGTTTTTTTTTCTGGAATTACTTTAAATAAAAGTATTAGATTTGATTTTTCTCATTTGATTAAATTTAGTGTTCATCATCATCATCATGGTTATGATCATGATCATGGTTATGTAGATTTTAAATTTCTCCTAAACACTGGTGGATGCACTAGTGAATGCATTCACATCCATGTTGGAAAGGTGGGTGCAGTAGGATTAAAAGTTGTTGGCGTTGCAATTGCCTCAGGAGGTCATTGATTTTATTTAAAGAAAATTTTTTATATAAGCATATGCATGTATATTAATTATAATTTTTAAAAATCATTTAAATGGTGAAACTTTTGAATTAGTCAAAAGCAATGTTTGTCATTTTTTTAAATCGTTTACAGATTAACCATTTTTACTAATAGAAGGCTTCGAACAATAATGAAGAAGCAGTAACAACAAAAATTTGATTAATTAGATGAAATTTGGGCTGACCAATAAACGCTGTTTTGAGTATTATCAAGTACTTATTATCAGTGATCTCAGGATATATTTTTATTAAAATCTACGTAATTAATTAAATTATCGTTTTTGGGACACGATTCACCACAAAAAATTATTTATGAAGAACGATAGTTTTCTTTCAAAAATTTTAAATATGCGATTGGTGTCTCCAAAATTATATTTCATGCAAATTCGATAAATATTAGACGGATTCGAATAGCAAAGAAAAGACAAGGACAAAAATTGTATTTAATTTATTGAAATTTGGTTGACCAGTGATCTTAGGATATATTTTTATTATTAACTATTATCGTTTTTGGGACACCATTAACCACAAAAAAAAAAAAAATAACTATGAAACTAAGTATTGAAATCTATAGAACAAAAATGATAGTTATCGAATTTTCTCTTGAAAAATTCATATATGAGATTGGTTTCTCAAAAAAAAAATGTCACAATTGTGATAGTTACAAAAAGTAACGCAAATTTCATAGAAATTCGACAGATATTTTTTTTTCAATGTTCTTGTAATTATTTGTGATCATAAATATAATCAATTTTATCAGAAAAACTCTCGCAAAAATAATGTATCACGGCTTTATTAAATGTTTATACAAATATTTTATTTTGGCCATGATTGGCTGCTATATATGTGTCGATTTTAAAGAACAAATTTTTTACAAACACACAAAGTCTGATAAAAAATAACAAGTCTCTTGCTAAAGTCTCTAATTTATATGTAAAACAACACTACTTGCTTTCTTCAACAGACTAGTTAGTCTGTAATCATCTTAGCGACTGTTACCAAAGCAATAAGCAACCTATTGTGAATCTTTATCGAAAATTTTAACGAATATTCGAGTCATCTGGCAAAAATCTTTTGTAAACAAAAATTCAAAGAACAAACAAATTTTCATAAACAAACATTTTGAAAAATATATACATATTTTGAAATATAGACGTAAGGAAGAGAATTTTAGAAGAGATACTCAAAACAGCTGTATGGTCAGCTAAAAATTCAATTTATTAAAATAATTTAAAAATAATTTTTGTCGTTGTAGTTCACTACTTTTCGAGACTTCTCTACAATTAATTTAGAATAAAGTAACTTATGAAAGGAATTCAATATTAAGCGCGCATTAAAAATATCAATAACCTTTAAAATTAGTACAAAGTAAAATAAAAAAAATTATAAATAAAACTAAATAAAAAAAAATTAAACTAAAATTAAACAAAAAAAAAGTTCTCTTATGATCTTAAAAGCGTAATATATCTGTAAAGATATACAGTACAAAAATAAAATACTTCCTTGCACATATGTCGAAAAATTATCTTCAAACACAAAAGAAGGAAAAACAAATATAAACAGAATAAAGTGAATGCACTTTTATTTTAAAAATGTGTATATTTAAACATATTGATAAAAAAAAGAATAAAAAAATAAGTCAAACATTCAGCTTGAATGTTGCAAGTAAAAAAAAATACCAAAAATAAACAAACAAAAAAAATTATGATGAAAAAAAATATTTTCAAGTTTAAAAGCAGATTTCCTTTTTTGTTATTATTTCTGTAAAAAAAAAAAAAACTTAAATGTAATTTCCTTCTCTTTTGTTTATAAAATATTCCTTTGACTTGAGTTGACCAAAAATAAAAGCAATATTTAACAAACAGACAGACATAATTTTTGTTTGATTATCAATTCCAATGCATAATAAAGAAAATGATTAAAATACATCCAAAGGGTTAATATGAGAGTTCGTTCATATACGCAACTAAATACCAAATCCCAATCAAGTGATTCACACACACAAACATACACATACACACATGACAACACAACCTGCAAACGAAGAAAGCATGCAAGCTAATTTAACGAAGCCGAAGACGCACATGTGCGCGCAATAATGCAATTTCAAGTTGTGTTCACTGCTTTGCGTTTGCGTTTGCGTTGCTTGCAATACGCGAATTGGGGTGAATGTCATCAGGACTATGCTTTTGCTTTTGTTTTTCTTTGTTTTTGTTTTTGATTTTGTTCTTTGTTTTTGTTTGAACAGCGGTCAATCGCCTCGCCGTTTTGGCTGATTCAGTGCTGTTGCTGCCGTCGATTCGTCGATTGTATAATAATGCATGCCAACCCAGCAGTAGAATTTAAAAAAAAAAACAAAAAAAAAACAATAAAATTTTAATATTTGCATTATTTTTATATTTATTTTTTTATTGCTTTTAATTGCTTGTAAAACAAAAACAACACGCATAAGTGGTTTGGTTTGTGTACAGTTTTAAATGTCATAAAACGTCTGGAAGCGTTGACACTTTGTGTGAATGTTGCTTTTTTGTTATTTGTTTGTTTTTTTTTCTTTGTAGTAGGAAGTGCATTCCGCAATACACTTTCAGAATAATTTTGCTGATTCATTAACTAAATTTTTGCCCTCATAAAATTCTTTTCATTCGTTTTTTGTGGGAAATATGATAAAATGACTACGTTATTAAGTGCAGTATTAAATTTTTTGACATACATAATTTATTTGTTGAAATATAGATTAATGTGTTGCTTTGAGAGAACAGTAAATAATTAAAAAAAAATATATATAATAATACATGTATATATTTAAAATAAAGTGTATTATTATGTTGAAGCTGTTTGAGCCAGTGCACTTAAGCACTTTTACTCTTTCTTAACTCGAGGTGTTTTCAAACCCTCTCTTTACACATTGACTAGATTATTGTTTATCACTTCATCAGACTAAGCAATAATTGACCTCAGATCTGCATACCACCCGAGGAGTCTGTAACCATTCTGAGATTTAATAACGCCGTGTTGGTAAGTCTGTCAGTTTTGTGTTTTCAACGTTTTTTTTTACATGCCTGGACTTTTAAGTACTAAGTCTGTTTAAGGTCCATGTTATGTAGAGTATCTCGGGCACGGCAAAATTTGCCTTTTCGGGTTGTGCCGAAAATGCATGTATGTAGAGTGTCATATCAGTATTGCCAATTTTGTATTTTTACAATTTTTTGATACTTTTTGGTTGTGCAAGAAAAAACTCATAGAAGCTCTAATAATATTCGTTTTTCACTTATTATCTTATTATAATTGTTAACAGTATTTATACAATTATACAGAAAGTGTATGTTGCTTAATGTCATTTTTGCTCCATAACATACTGAAGTTGGTGTAGTTTGCTCTTAAACGGCGTAAATTCTGTAATTTATTACTAAACAACACTGCTTTGCCTTAGTGCCGAACAACCAATACGCCAGCTCTAATGCCGAAATTTGAATGGTCATATTCTTTTTTCTCTCACTCTCAATTTTACAATTCGCATTGAAAACAACAACAATTTTACTAATACCGTGGTCGACACACTCTACATAACATGGTCCTAACCACGGTTGCCACTTATGATACTTTAGTACCAAAATTGATACTTTTTTTTTATTTTTTTCGTTTGGTACTCATGTTCAAAAAATGGCACATTTTTGGCGACCCAACTTTATTGTGGATATTTTCAATTAATTTTTTTTATAAATGCAACTTTGCACTATTTTATATTTTGTTCATTTATAACACTATGAAAAACACAGAACGAAAAAACAAAAGGGTCCAAAAAAATTTTGGACCTTTTTTTTACAGAAATTGTACCTTTTTAAACCAATTTTGGTACAGAAAAAAATTTTCAAGTGGCAACCGTAGTCCTAACTCAACTATTTACCCTTAAATACTGGAGTACAGTTTCCTACACAGTTCTCCGAGTTAGTGGTGGCAATCTTATCCCTCCATTTCTAAGAGTTGATTTTAGTAGATAAAAGTAGATATTTTACACATTAGCTGTGCATTAGTTTTAAAACTAGTTACTATATATTTATTTTTTTATGGAATTTATATCGCAAATTTTGATTTTAGGTCTTCTACCAACTGAAGCGAAATATTTTGTTCATGAAATATGAAATACGAGATAATAGAAGATTACACTTTTAAAACGTAGCCCAATTCAAAAAGCCATAACGCGTATTCTGCAGAAACAAAATTTAAACAAACAATTCATTAAAATTATTTACAACTCCGTTATGTCACTAATTCCCTTATATACAGGTTTTTAAATACACTTATAACAAAAATAATGAAAAGTGCTTTTATGTAGCACTATAGCCGAATAAACCTGCAATTTTTTTGGCGACTGGATTTATCTGCCAAATATTTATATATTCTTTACTTTTCAGCAAAGTTCATTATTTGTTAGATATGAATGTAGGGAAGTAAATTGGCATACACATGCCATTTTTAATAAGTTAATCAGTAACTGATATTTTAAGAGAAATGTGCACGTGAACTAACATAAAAATGTCATAAAAATAAAATAAGATTCAGGACCAGCAACAGATATTTTATATTATCTGAATATATTAATAATTTCTAAAACTAAATCCATTAAATAACACCAAAAACAGCAGATACATGTTCAACTGCCATAACTTAATCTGGATAAGCGTTTATTGAAAATTTATTAGTTTCGTCTGAATAGACTGTAACTTCTAAAAACATAAGCAATGCTTAAATACAGATTTTACTCATACGTATCAGTAATTTATGTCCTTTTTGATTGGCATATCTTGATTTGCTTCCGATCTGTCAATTTTTGTCATTTTTGTAATCCAATCGAAGATTTTTCGGATAATTTTAATAGTAGTTAGAAGCTGCCTACATATTTTCAAGTCATTAACGAATTTTCATTATTGTATTTATTTTTAGCTACTTTTTTATATTAGGGGTATTCAGGCAACTGATTAGTTGCTTAGTTGATTCAAAAACTTCATATAAAAAAAATTTAGCATTTTGATGTTAATCAGTTGGTTGAACGAGCCAAAATGCGTAATCTGATTAGTTTGTTGTGCGTAAATGCCTTGGCAGCACTCACATCAACAGCAAAAGCGAAACATACGTTAACAGTGAAAATTGTTTACACACAATTCAAACAGCTGAGAGAGATAGCTAACAAATTTCTGTACAAAAGTTCATTTTAAGTTATTATTACGACACTTGGGACTGGCAGCACTATTAATCAAA